CAGTCACTCTGCCACCATCCACAATCTCTGTAGCCTTGTTTCAGAAGGCCACCAGACTGGTCAGGCATGACTTGCCCTTAGTGAAGCCATGTTGGCTGTCACCAATCACCTCTTTTATTTTCCATGTGCCTTAGACTTTCCAGGAGGATCTGCTCCATGACCTTGCCAGGCACGGAGGTGAGACTGACCAGCCTGTAGTTTTCTCAGTTGTCTCTTTTCCCTGTTTTTTAAAAATAGGGGCAATGTTCCCTTTTTTCCAATCAGCAGGACCCTCACCAGACTGCCATAACTACTCAAATATGATGGACAGAGGCTTAGCAATTGCATCCACCACCCTCTGGACCTGTGGGTGAATCCCATCAGGCCCCGTAGATTTATGTCCCTTCAGGTTGTTTAGATGGCCATATCCACACTTGTTTAGCAAGAAGGGCTCTTCTTAAAATGAAGTGAAGCCATATTCTGGTTCAGTAGCCCACAGTTCTAACTGTGCTTTAGTCCTTGCTTTTGAGTGTCACAGTGGTTGACTGTGCTGCAAACCTCTAAATTTCTTTCTAGTCTTTTTAATTAATGTAAATATGTGAAATTGTTGCCTCTGAACCCATTCAGCAATTCCTCTATAGTTAAGGACATCTGTTTTTTTAATGCTGTTTGTCTCACAGTATGCAAAGTTGCCCATGCTGTAGGAACATGAATTGAGGTGTGTTTTTTTTCTGGCACTCTGGTGTCTTTCACCTCAGATGTCTAAGCTACATTTAGGCTCTGCATTGGAGAAAATAAAATACAGTTCTTCACAGGGTGGGGAAAAGCCAACCTGACAGGGGCCAAGATAGGCATCTAAGGTGAGTGGCATGGAGAGAGGGTACCAGAGGAGTAAATTCTTGAGCATTCTTTTTTGATACAGGAACTCAAGGGAATCCTGGAAGTGGTAAATAGCAGGTCTGAAGCAAATAAAGGTATCAGTTCAGCTAAGTGTAGAACTCCTGGGTGCTGGATGGTGTGTGTAAAGCTAACATGGATTTTAAGAGGTGATTAAAAAACTCCTGAAAGGGAAGAAAAAAAGTAAAAATTGGCCTGTTTTCTCTAAAAGTCACTAACCCAGAAGAAACTGCTGGAGACATGAAAGCTGGTCTGAGTGACTGCATGCTTATCCTATTCTACAGATTAGTGGAAGCACCAGTGCTTTGTGCCTGGTGGGCAGGT